GTTTTCCTTTTCTTCAGGTTAAAATGGGAACAAATATGGATCTCTTCTAGTCAGCTGACCAGGTTGTTGTCCTGCAGATGTATTCGCACAACCTGGTGAGTATGCCCAGTGCAGCATCTGCTTCCTAAAATATATCAATTGGTATTCCATCAATTCATGGGGCTTTGTTTTGTGCCAAATCCTTCAGAGCAAACTGAACTTCCTCCTTCATCACCATTGCCTCAGGATCATATGCTATTTCTTGAAATTTTCTGTGTTAGCCATTCTTTTTGGTACAATAACTCTGTATACTCCTTCATCTTCTTTTTTTTTTTAATTATTATTATTTTTGTGTGAGTGTACCGTCAAATCAGATCTGACTGGTACAGGAGGAGATGGTCCCTCCTTCCCCGGCAGAGCATCTGGTAGATTCGAAGCGTTCGCCTCTGGGTTTGTAGTTGCAGCTCCTTGCCATTAGGCCACCAGAGCTCCCCTATCTTCTTTTAATACTTCCTGGATCATTCAATATTCTCCCCATAGCATCCTCAAGTATTGCAACTTGCAGCTTGAATTTGCTCTTTAGTTCCTTCAGCTTAAGAAATGCTGCGAGAGTATGGCCCTTTTGATTTACGGACTCCAGGGGAATTTTTGGGTCTGTCAAATTAGATCTGACTGGTATAAGAGGAGTTTGTCCCTTCATCTCCAGCAGAGCATCTGGTGGATTCAAACCACTCACCTTTGGGAATGTAATGCAGCTTCCTGCCCCTAAGCCACCAGAACTCGCCAGGACTCCAGTTGTTTGCACATTTCCACACTTCGTTTTATCTTCCCATGCTGCCCTTTGAATTCTATTCAGCTCCTTTACTTCTTTATTTCTTCCCTTTGTTTTGGTTTTGTGGTGCTCTCGTGCAATATTCAGTCTCTTCTGACATCCATTTTGGTCTTTTCTTCTATCTTTGTAATGACATTTTGCATTCTTCATGTATAATACTCTTTATATACTCTCACACACAGCTCACCTGGTCTTCACCCATTAGTGTTCAAGACCTCAAACTTGTTCCTAGTTGGTTTTTAAATTCAGGTGGGATAGACTCAAGGTCAAATTTTTATTACTGTGGATTTGATTTGATCTTTCTTAGCTTTAATTTGAACTTGCAGATGAATAGTTGACAGTTGGTTCCATAATAAGCAGCGGTTATTGAATTTCTCCAATGATTCTTTCCACAGATGTAATCAATCTGATACCTGTGCATACTATCAGGTGAAATCCATGTGTATAGCCTTTGTTTATGTTTCTTATAAAAGGTTGCTATGAATAAATCATTGATTGTACAGACTTATTTCTATCCCTTCACTCATTTCTGTCAAGTCCATGTTTTCTGACTACTGATCCTTCTTCCGGGTTCCCAACTTCTGCATTCTAGTCACCCATTATCATGCAAAAGTTGGTGGAAATGATCCATTTCCTCCTCTTTGGCTCTGGTTGTTGGTGCGTAAATTTGAATGAGAGTGATATACAGTGGGTTTCCTTGTATGTGTATGGATATAACTCTGTTGCTCACTACATTATATTTCAAGATGGATCTAGAAATGGCCTAACTATGAAAGTGGTCCCATTTTTTTCTCACTTTTTCATCTCCAGCACAGTAGTTAATCGTCTGATTCAAAATGTCCCAGGCCAATCCATCTCACTTTGCCAATACCTAATATGTCAATATTTACATGTTCCATTTCTTTCTTAATGATGCCCAATTTTCCTACATTCATACTTCTCACATTCCACATTCCAGTCATTAATTTCAGCTAACAACTGTTCCTCTTTGTTTGTGTTTCCAAATTTGAGGGCTCAGCCTCAGTTGCCTTATCTCTTATTCTACTTTATGTGTGCTCCACTGTACATAAGAGTTTGGTTTCACCTTACTCCCTAATTCAATTTGGGATGGGAACCTCAGTGTGTAGCAAATGGCAGGAATCTGAGACCCCATCTTGCCTTCCCTTTAGGAACCCCCATGCTCCCAGGATCCTTTTGGCTTTGTTAACAAGCAACCAGCCCAGGCCAGATGGAACATGCAGGCCCATATGTGCATCAGAAACATTGAGATCTTCAAAGAGCCAGAGTCTGGTTTCTCCTTTTGCACCCGTAATCCACATTGGGAACCCCAGTGTGTTGTATGTGGCAGTTAGCTGAGACCACCATCTTGCCTCCCTCTTAGACCAATCTAATTAAGACTAATTTATTGCATAAAAAGCTTTAGAAAAATGACAATTATTCCCTTTTTTATTAAAAATATTGTAGACTTCAATTTACAGAACTATACAGTATATCAACTTCATATCCCTTTCAAATCATATTGTTGTTGTTATGTGCCGTCGAGTCGCTTGCAACTCACAGCAACCCTATGTACAACAGCCCTAAACCCTGTTCTATCCTGTGCCAATCGCACTGCCTCTGATACACCTATCCTGATTACCCCAGTCACTGAACCAATGCACCTCATAGAGGGAATTCCCTTCCTATGCTGTCCCTCCACCCTACCAAGCATGCTGTCCCTCTCCAAGGACCTGTCCCTCCTTACAACATGTCCAAAGTATGTCAGATGAAGCCCCAGAATCCTTGCCTCCAAGGAGTAGCCTGGTTAAACCCTCTCCAGGATGAATCTGTTTGTTATCTTGGTAGTCCATGGTACATTCAATACTCTTCTCCAGCACCACAGCTCAAAGGCATCAATATTCCTAGACCAGGATACAAGTCTAACTAACTAACCAGGTATATGAACAAAAACCCTACAGTTTTAGATAGAAAATTAGCAAGAAATAGTTCAGATGGGTTCTCAAAGACAAATCTACTGTTTTAATATTAATTCAATGATGATTTTAAAAATACATCCACAAATTTTTTAATATTTCTTCTCTCAAGGGACAGGGCCTAATGCTTCTCCCCTTGAGTGTGGACCAGACTTAACACGTGACTTTGAAGACCAAGTCATTAGAGTCCATCCTGATATATGTCTTTCTCTGCCCCTTTGCTCTAGGGAAAGTCAGCAGAAATACTATGAGCAGCTCTACTGAAAGAACTATTGAATAAGGAACAAAGGCTTCCTGCCTTAGGCAGGAAGAACACAAGCCAAAATCACATGCTTTAGAGGTGGATCCTCCAGTCCAGTCCCAACTTCAGATGATCACAACTTACGTGACACCTCAATTACAACCTCCTGGAACTCCAAGACTAAAACTATTACATAACAAGTCAATATTGGATTTCCAAAACTCTATGAAATAAAAATAAAACATTGTTGTTTTAAACTCCTACATTTAAGGATACTTTGTTAAGCAGCAATGACTAACTGATACAGATGCTAAGAAATACTGTCTTTATGAATGCAACCTTGACACTAGTACCTTGAGATACAAATTCTCGCAACATTAGGGAGCTCTGGTGGCCTTGTGGTAAGAAACTGTGCTGTAATCCCAAATTCATACATTTTCAAAACTCTGAATTCAAGTAAAATCTAACCAAGCAAAAATAGCACTATGAGAGGAATGTTTAATGAAGAAAGAAGTTGATAAATGAGTAGAATGATGGATGAAAGAAAAACTTAGGGGATAATTCTCAGTCCAAAATTATTTTTTCCTTTTTTCTGAATGACCCATAAATTAATTTCTCCTGCCTCAAATATTTTTACCCTCACCTGGATGTTTCCATCCTGGTTCTATGAAATATTTTTCCCCATACTCTTTTCTTTTGACAGTGAGTGGAGTGGTGGGAATGAGTGTGTTTGAGACAGCGAGGTTGGCACAGGATAGAACTGGCATTTAAGGCTCTAGTACATAGGGTCGCTATGAGTTGCAAGGGACTCAATGCCACATAACAACAATAACAATAACAACAACTCTTTTTTTTTGTTTGTTAAGAAAATTCTCGTGGTTTTATTGTATAATGAGGCATTGAAAAATCTGAACAAATCATTATCTGGGCGGTGAGGCAGCTGCTTTCTCCTTCACTTCTTTGGGATACTAGAGCAACTTGTCAGTAGATTAAAAAGAAAGAAAAAAAGACAATCTTTTGCATTACCTAAGTCTTTTCCAAGGCATGAGCTGGTATAACACAAACTTCTCCTGTCAGATGCAGCTAGTCTAGTGTCCAAACATGGCACACTATTAATACCTAGCTGGCAGCAGCGCACCACACCCATTCCCACCTGGCCTTGCTTGTTTGTGTATGATATTTGGAGCATCTGGAAGAGTGTGAATACTATCGGGCAAAGGAAGGAGGGGGAAACAGCATAAATGCCTAGCTGGGATGAGGTCAGCCGAAGTTGTGTAGGGAAAGCCTGAACATATCATTGGTCCAAACCCAAGCATCATTGATATTCTTTAACAGGAACATCTGGTGAAAGCCCATGATGGGGTCTTCATTGACCCTGAGCTGGCTCACAACCATGCTGAGGATACAGCTATCTGGCATGGGCTGATGGTCCTGTGATGTGATGCTGTGCTGGATTTTCTGGAACGGAAGGCTAGGCAATTTCTCCACGATGGCAGCTTTCCCCTGGAATTCTTGTCCTTCCCACATAAGGCATGACGTGTCAAACTGAAGGGCTGGCAGGATGGCGGCAGGAGCGGCAGCAACCCTGAACGGTCTGTGACCACCTGTTTCTTCCCCCTTGCCTGCCCTCAACTGCTCTGTTGCACTCTCTCCCCCTACTCTTAATATCCAAACCAGTCTTTTCTGAAAGTCATCACAGCATTAAGGGAAACATGAAAGTGATGAAAAGGAAAACTCCTTACCTAACCAATTTTTCCATTTGCTTACACACTGAAGAGTTAGATAGAAATGACAAGTATTATCTCAGCAATTTCAGGATCTTAAAATTTTATATTTGAAGGATTTTCTTTTTATAGATGGGCAAAATGAGATCTCAAAATAAAATGATTTGTGCAATTCTCAAAACTCAGTGCCAAGATATACATCTTTGCTTTAGAAGATTACTACATTGCTAGAGTTTATTAATTATACTCACCAAACAATAGTAATGTACAGTGAGATTCCACTTCTCATTAGATTTCTTTTCTCCATATTTATTAGGACAGTCATCATTTTTTCGACAAAAAACACAAGCTAGCAAGAAAAAAAAAGATATAAAAATAAATTTAAAAGGAAATGGGAAGGATCTTTTGTGGAAAAAGAAGGTATTCAAACTTTGTAAATACATCAGAGTAATATTTAAAAAATTTAAAAAAAAATCAAAAGATGTATATAACTGGCCTTTCTCTTATTGATGTGTGAAATACTCTTTCAAAGAATTGTTGTTGTGTACCACCGAATGAGAATTAAACCATAGCTGACCCTCTAGAGGGTTTTGAGAGGCAGTAAGTTTCTTCTTTCTCCTGCAGAGCAGCTGATGGAGTCAAACCTTGTACCTCTGCATTAGCAATGCAATTCCTTGTAAGTCACACTATAGTGCTATCAGTACTTTAAAATTTCTATTATATACTTGTAAAACATCATGATGTTTACAATTTTTTAAAACCAAGCTTGAATGATAGATTTTATTGTGTAAACAAAACAGCAATTTATAGAATGATGTAACAGACAATGGCCGGGTAGAAAAGTCCAAAACTTGACAGGGATATGTCCAATAAAGCAACAGGTGCGCCATCTTAACTGTCAGAATTAAGTGTCTCAAAACTCTAAAACGTAATAAAAAGCCAAGAAACCCCATGAGCATTTTTAACAAGGAAGAAAATGATTCTGCATTTCAGTAATAAAGGATGGTTGCATTTTAGTTTATCTGACTACCTCCATTATTTTCTAGTTTGATTCTTGATGTGCTTGAGGATCCATGAGGGGTAAATAAGGACTTTGCTGTCTTAGTAACTATGATTGTGTTGATATCTCTGATGTCTCCATTATGGAATCAGATCAAAGACACAATGCCCATGTTTGACTAATGGCTGAATTTTGTCAGAGTGGGATAAGTGAAAGTATTTAAAGGCTAGTCACAGCTGTCTGGGCCAAAGATTTATAAGCAGGACAGGCAGCAGAAAAAGAAAACCTGGGGAAGAAGAAGATAGGAAGAGCAACACATGGAGAAATAGGAGTACTGGCACAGACTCAGGACAAGAAGCTTATGTCTCAGACTGACTTTTAGGCTTAAAAGGCCAAATCATTAAAATCGCTCACTTTAATTACTGACCTAACACAATCAATATAAGATGACCAGGAGAGTTATTTTATTTATGTGATGGGTTTTGTTTTGGCTTCAAGAGTTTAAGAAAAACTGTAAACTAATTTAATGGAACTATAAAAATGGAACACAGACTCAATAATCACATGATGGTGATTATAGACATTACAGAAATTGTTTATAAAAAGTCACTAAGCAAGCAACCACTCACCACAAAAGGCAGCAACAACAAACCCCAGGGACAGAAAGAAATCTAATACCTAGAGTTGGCACATTACAATATGCAAAATGGGACATTCTGAATATTATAAAGTGTGGTGGGTGGTAAAAAGAAACAAGGCTATTTCTATTAGACAAAAATATGCTCAAAGAGCTTATTAATAAGGACACCAGGAGGACATTTTAATCAATAGAGAATAGAAATAAAATAAAGAAACCAAGCACATTCTGGAGTTGTAAAGTACAATAACGAAAGAGAAAAATTCATCAAAGAATTCAATGGCACATATAAGCAGGTAGCATAAAAATGAATAATGAATCTCAAAATTGGTTCATGAGATAATTCAGCTTAAAAGTCAGAGAAAAGAACCAAGAAAAAGAGACTAAAAGATCTATGATATATCATCAAGTGCACTAACATAATAGGAGCTCCAGAAAAAAAGAACAAATAATGCTTGAAAAAATAATGGCCCCAAATTTCTCAAATCTGATGAATTTGCATATCCAAGAAGTTTAACAAACACCAAATAGGTAAAACTTTAAGCAATCCACACTGAGATGAAAACAAATACAAAGAACCAGATGAAGCCCAAATATAAAGAACATGATAAATACCAAATACAAAGAATCTTGAAGGCAGCAAAAGAAGCAATTCAGTCTGGACCACGTGCCATGGTCATCTATCTACTCACCCCTGACTAGGGATACCCCTGCATACAAACTGTATAAGTTGGCAGGACCGTTCTCTTGCACCCCAAAATCAAAAGGAAACATAATTAGCTCCAGGAGAGAAAGCACAGGAAGTGAGAAACTATTGCCCAGAGCGAGCTCTTTGGGGTGCTCGTGGGAGACAGGACTGAAACCTCCCTGGGTATAAGTCCCTCCATTTGGGATCCTTGCCTCTGTGGCAGCTGAGCCATCCCAGGAACCAAATAGGAAACAGAGTTTGGGACACAGAGCCACAAGCAGGGAAAAGACTTTCTCAGCCTTCTCAACTGGCACACTGAGCTGCACTGCACAAGAGAGCTAACTTGAAACCCTGTAGACAGAAACTGCTTAAGTGGAGCACCTGGTACCATACCACATGGCCACTCCATAGATGAAGGAGGATAACAGAGTTTGGGAAAGGGGACTACATTAAGGCAAGACTCCCAGAGGCCTGCTGTGCAGAACAAAGAGAATCTGAAAGCCTTTAGGAAAGGCTAATTTCTGAGAAAGGACTTCCGTTAGAGTGAGTGGCTCTCCCTATGGATTGAAAATTTTAACCTGGCAACTAATCAATATCATAAAGATAAAAATGACAACTTATGGAGACCAACAACTTATGCAGGCCCAATAAAAACAGCCTAACACTTATCAAGAGAAACTCCACATAATGTCGAGAAAGCAACAGGTAGCTTCAAACACTGTGGAAAAACAAATTAAGCCTATTTTTAAAAAAGAAAAAGAAAGAAAGCAGAGAATACTGCAGACTCAATGAATACCCGAGAGTCAAGAAGGCAGATAATATATGTTGATGTGGAGATATTTGAACAGTTATGAAATAAATTACAAACGATGGAAGCCACAAGTAAAGGGAAAATCCAAGAGGTAAAGAACCAGAAGAAATATATTGATGAAGAGTTATTTGAACAGCTATGAAAGAAGGTGCAAGTGATGAAAGAAATAATGGAAACCATGAAGAAAAAAGCAAATACTCAAGAGACATGGAGCCAGAAGAAATATATTGAAGAGGAAGAACCTGTACACCTACAGAAGGAAACGCAAAAGATGAAAGAAATTATAAAGAGGTAGAAGAACTTAAAAAATCATCACAAGATATAGAGGGTATGGTGAAACATTACTGAAAATAGTAGAAATACATGAAAATGCACTCTAGAATATCAAAACCTTAACAGCATATGCGTCCAAACATGATAGATTGGGGGTGGGGGGGTGGGTGGGAACTAGAACAGAAAGTATGGAACAGAAAATCAGCGAGTTGGAAGATAAGAAACCCATTGGAAACATACTAGAAGAAAAATCAGAGATGAGACATAAAGAAAATGAAGCAAATATTAGAATCATTTTGGATGACATCAAAAGTAACAACATACATATGATTCGAATACCAAAATATGAGAAGGACAGGGAAATCACTGAAAAAATTGTGGAAGAGGTCCTAGAAGAAAACTTCCCAGGTATTATGAAGAATGAGGGAATCCACATTTAGGAAGCTCAGTGAACATCAATTAGACTACATCCAAAAAGACAGACATATCATAGCCAAAATAAAAATGACTCTCCAATGGTAAAAATCATTATCCAAAATAAAAAAATAAGGACAAAATACTAAAAGCAGCATGAGAAAAACAAAGAGTCACCTACAAAGGAAAAGTACTAAGATTAAATTCTGATAGATAAGCAGAAACCATGAGAACAAGAAGACAATGGGACAGCATGTACAGAAAGTTGAAAGAAAACAACTGTTACCTGAGGATCCTGTATCCTCCATTAAATATGAAGGAGAAATCACAACCATTGTTAAAAAGAGAGACCTTAAGTAATTTGTGAAAACAAGGCCAAATCTACAAGAACTATTAAGGGAAGTCCTTCACACACAGAGACATCAAAGGAAATTGGATGGACCATAGTAACAAGAAACAACAATAAAGAAACATAGCAAAATGGCAATGATAAAACTTAGCCTGTCAATAATCTCACTGTGAACGGACTAAATGTGCCAATCAAGAGAAAAAGAGCAGCAGAATGGATGAAAAACAGTATGTTGTCAATAAGGGATACATCTAAGAAAAGAAGAGAAAGTCTCAAAATCAAAAGCTGGAAAAAATATACTAAGCAAATGACATCCACAAAAAAGTAGGAGTGGCAATCCTAATCTCTGATAAAATAGACTTCAGAATGAAAACCACCATAAAAGATAATGAAGGGCCCTTTATAATAATTAAAGGCACAGTATATCAAAAAGACATAACATTGGTCAACACCCATGCACCAAATGATAGGCCTGCTAAATACATAAAACAACTGGTAGAATGAAAGAAAGAAATAGTACCACAATAGTGGTAGGAGACTTTAACATAATATTCTCGCCAAAGGATAGGCCAACTCAATGAAATTTAACAAAGATGTAGAAGATTTAAACTACATATTCAGCCAACATGACTTTGTAGATATATTCTGAGCACTGCACCCAACTAAACTCAATTCACTTTCTTGACTAGTGCACATGGTACATTCTTCAGAATTGATCACATATTAGGTCACAAAGCAAACTTCAACAAATTAAAAAAAAACACCACACTGAAATAATATAAAGTATCTTCTCAGACCACAAGAGATAAAGCTTATAAGACCACAAAAGTTGAAGCTAATTTACACCCTGTTATAACATGATTGGGTTATAGAAGAAATAAATAATTAAAAAGTTACGCACCACAAGATAAAGGTAAATAATCCAATTGAAAAATGGGCACAGGATATGAACAGACACTTCACCAAAGAAAACATTCAGATGGCCAACAAGCACATGAAGAAATGTTCAAAATCCCTAGCTCTAAGAAAATTAAAACAACTATGAGATATCATCTCACCCCAGTCAGAATAGCAAAATTTAACACAATAGCAAGCAACAAATGCTGGGGAGGTTGTGCAGAAACTGGAACCCTTATTCACAGTTGGTGGGAGTGTAAAATGGTGCAAGCACTGTG